CACCTTGACTTCTTAGGACCTTTTTCTTGTACCTATTTAAGGTTGGGTCAGCTTAAGGCCAAATTAATTTTTTTTTAAAAGAAAACAAAATCCGGCTTTCCTCGGATTTAAACCCACGAGTTTCGGATCTACATGCGAGCGTCTAGCAATTGTAGCACTGCGGCCCTATCGGTAATATGTGATTTCGCAAATATATGAGAGCAAACGAAAAGTAGAATTTGCTATCATTACATTATCACAGTAACAAGTAACAAGTGGAAGTTACGGTTGGAAAGCTTTCATCAGTACACGACATGTATAGACAGTGTTAATTTTCGAACAAGAACATGCACAAATTCTAATGAAATTTGAAACTCTCCAATAAAATAAAACAGGACACATAATTACGAATAAAGTTCACACACCTGGCACTGTTTTACTGACCGAGAGGCACTGATGTGGACACGTGGTAACATTCAGCGGCCGGTCACACCTGGGTTTCACAAAACCCATGGAGCCGCTGTTATCCGTTAATCTCAAGAAACACTTGTGTCACACTTCAAGTAGCATGAACCTTTTGCACTCGTCTCTGTCATCATCATTATCTAGCGCAGCGGTTCTTAACCTGTAGGTCGCGACCCTTTGGGTCAATCGACCCTTTCACATGGGTCACCCAAGACCATCGGAAAACACATATTCATTGAAGCTATGTAGTAACGAAAGTAGTTGCATGTTTGGGGGTCGCCGCAGCATGAGAAACTGAATTGATGGGTCGTGGCATTAGGAAAATTGAGAGTCACTGATCTAGCGCCTTTACGACTGGCATAGGCGATCACGCCTCTAACCTCTACTCTTCAATAGCAAAGTGAGTCCAACATACAACAATGACATATAAATAGACATTCTTTTTCTTGCCGAGCATTTATTTTAGCTTTAGCGGTTTGGTATTACGGAGTCAGAGAGTTCGCCACCCCCACCCCTCCTTCCTTCATAAAAGAAAGACATGGGGTGGAATGTAAAGATCACCCCAATATTCTTTCTAATGTGCTGATTGAGCCTAAAGTTAGTAAACGTAAATGTTTTAGGAAGTAAAGGAGACAGACTTGATGTTATGCAAAAAAACCCATTAAATGCCCATTCGTGTTCAACGATATGTTTTTAGCACCTCATGACCAAGCGCCATCTGCGTGAAACGGCCCGTTATTTAGCGTTACTGCATTTGTAACTAACCACCCAGGCAGTTATTCTTGTCCTAAATGCTAAAGCCCGGGTACTCAGACCACGGATTTTTTTGGGGTGCGGGGGGTGGGGGAGGGGAAGGGTGGAGAAAGGGGAGGGTGGACTTAAACAATTGGAGGCTCCTTATTCAAAATAATTGTGTGTGTGTGTGTGTGGTTGGGGGCGGGGTAGTATGCAGGCTGCTTCAGTCTCAGCCCCTACCAATTGTGTATGTACACAACATTAATTCTTCGTAATGCTGTAGTGCCGGATTTGATTTGGCAGCAGAACGTTAGTTTCGACAGGGGTACCAAGAGCCACCTGTCCAGAAAGCAATGGCAAACTACTCTACGTAAAACTTCCTGCGAAAAGCTATAATAGTCAACAAATGCTCGCGTTGATCTTGCAACGTCCTTCAAAGAATACACAGTTCACTTTTACTTTTCATATTATTATTGTTATTGTTATTATTATCCATATGAAAATGTCAAATAAATGTGACCTTACAAAATTTTTGGAGGTCCTTTTTTTTTTGCCTAGACAATTGGTCAAACTGGGACAGGTGAGGAGATGCGGTGTTTTGCAGCTTCCACTCTTTTTCTCTTTCATGTGTCGCCCCGCTTGACTTTTGCAGCATTTATTGGTGTGATAGTTTTCCTCTTCGCTTGCAAAGTATTGCATCGATAAAAGACGTAACTGTATCTTTTTTGTGTCCTAGCACCAAAGGAAATCACCACAACGTTCAACTGCCCTGAGGCCCATGGTCTCTTCTCTGATTCCAGCAACTGCTCATTCTTCATTCACTGTTTTAAGAAAGTCGCCTACAGGTACGTTGTCTTATTTTATAAAAAAAACGTGTTTTTTTTTCTGTAACCACTCAGCAGGTAGTAAACGTGTAAGTACTGACCCGTATTACACAATAGCAAACGTATTGTGAGATAGCATACCAGAACGACAGAAATATTGTATTAACCATCTATTTACAGTGATGCGTTCTACCCTATCTCCGTCCTCTCCCCCACATCCTGTCTCCCCACCCTCGGCAAAAATGGATAATCTCAGCACGGCAGCTAAAGCAAAAAACATGAATATTAACTTTAAAAAAAAAACACACACACCCCAAAATATTATCACCATTGCGTGAATAGACTAACCAGATTTGCACGGAAAGACAACAGCTCAAACAAACAAAAGACTTCAAGTATCTAGGCAGCATACATCATCCTACATAGATTGAACACAAATGTAGTAAAACAGATACACTCATCGGACAGAAGTCAATAATTTTGCAGAACAAACGTTTTACCAATTGATACCAAAAGAGGCACTATCTAAAATATTGTTGTTAACAACATCTTGTTATAAGTACCAAACATGGACAATCAAATTGACCCCAAAAAGGGGGCGGGGGAAAGAAAAATAAAAACAATTAAAGTGAAATGTCTACGACGAATCCGAAATGTAGCTGGAAGAAACTGGATCCGATGTTACGATATGAGTAAGAAAGTTGGGATGGAAACAGTACTAACCTGCATCAAGAGACAACAGGTCAAATGGTTCGGGCACGTGTCCAAATTACCACTAGACAGTACACCACAGACAGCCCTATCACTCACACACATACATACACCCACACACATACGTACACCCACATAACACATACACACATAGAGAGAGATGGAGACTTAAGAAAGAGAGAGAGAGAGAGAGAGAGAGAGAGAGAGAGAGAGAGAGAGAGAGAGAGAGAAAAGAGAGAGGAGGGCTTCTGTAATTTGTATTATCTTTAGTAACCATCATCCCCTTCCTTTCCTGTGATTGCCTGCCTGAGATATTGACACCCAGTGTTCACTATCATCATCATCATGGTGTTTTCTGTATAGCGGCATAGACGCTGACGTCTCTTTACAGATCTCAATTTTTGGCATCTAGAATCAATTCCACAGAAGATACTCCACAATACCATATCTTCAGGCTGCCTAGCATCGTTTCTCTTGGTCTGGCTCTGTATCTTCTACCGTTGATCTTTTCAATCATCACGATGTACTTCAATGCCTCTCTTCTCATCACATGAATAAAGAACACTGACTTCCTCTTTCGTTTCGTTGTATATAGTTTTCTAATTTCATTACCAATGAGACAATGAACCTCTTTTCACTGTTGGTACTATAATGTTTTCACGTGACCTTATGTCCTCTAAGATTCCACCGTGTGGGTTCCGCCGTCTCTCTGTGGGGATAACAAGAAATGACCGTGTGACTGCTCAACAAGAATGTCGTAAGAGTCAACTAATTGGCAGCTTCTTTCGAAGTCGGAGGGTATCTGCCCGAGCGGCAAGGAACAGGCATGTGGACACAAAAAAGCCAATACAATGGATGTACACGCAAAACTCAGGCCATGACACAAAGCAAAAGTCCAAATTGACGAACAGCCAGTACTTATAACTACGTCTTGCAGCCAGTTAAAAAGAAGAAGAAGAAGAAGAAGACGAAGAAGAAGAAGAAGAAGAAGAAGAAGAAGAAGAAGAAGAAGAAGAAGAAGGAGAAGAAGAAAAAGAAGAAGAAGTAGAAGAAGAAGGAGAACAAGAACAAGAACAAGAAGAAGAAGAAGAAGAAGAAGAAGAAGAAGAAGAAGAAGAAGAAAATGATGATGAAGAAGAAGAAGAAGAAGAAGAAGAAGAAGAAGAAGAAGAAGAAGAAGAAGAAGAAAAAAAAGAAGAAGAAGAAAAGGTCCTAAAGGATGTGCTTTTTAAACTCTTCGTGTGACTCTATGGTCAGTCAGTAGCCGGTCTTTTGCAGAACCTTCCTCCCATAACCTTCCGGGAAAACTTCTCGATCGACAAGCAAGATCCCGCGTCCGATGCACCCATCTGGAGATCATCCGCCACATCCTGCACCCATCTTCTCTTTGGCCTTCCTCTTTCTCTCTTCCAAGGCATCTACCCCTCCATTATTGTTGTCTCTAAACTTTATTATGTTTTCTTTCATGGCTGTTATGGTTTATTGGCGAGTTTTGCAGAAGGTAGTTTGCCATTGCTTTCCTTCTGGGCAGTGACTGTACTAGTCGGTAGCCATAGCTATTGTCTCTACTGATGAATTCTTGCTTGCTACATACATCCAGTTTTAACATATGGCTGTGAATCCTGGAAAATCGGTAGGCAGGCCAAACAATTTCTTGAGGCCTCAGAGATGTGGTTTTACAGAAGAGTGCTTAGAATACCTTGAACAGCCAAAGAGAGCATCCAAGAGGTTTTGAAAGAGGCGGGAGCCGGAAGACAACTAATCACAGAAATCAGAAGGAGACAGTCATCATTTTTCGGCCATGTTATGAGAGGAGGAAAATAGAACATGTGGTGACCACTGGAAATATATGTGGAAGGAGAGACAGAGGTAGACAACGAGAGAAGATGCTTGACAGTCTTGTTGCATGGCATGGAGGTGTGTCGGCACACGAACTGATACATGCTGCAGCAGATCGCAGATTATTGAGAGGCATGATCACCCACGCCAGTCGGCAAGGCACCTGATGATGATGATGATGATGATGATGATGATATCATCTGCCTATCGCCGCAGAGTGCATGATCATAACCAATAACAGTCTGTCGGCTGCTCTCACACTACATCCCCCACCTGCATCTGTGGATTCCCGTATCTCTGACTGGGGGAGGGGGGGGGCGGGGGGGGGATGGGCTAAACGGGAATTCTTTGTTGATCTACTGTTAATCTATATTTTGCCTGTTATTCTGTTCATGCTTCTGTTGTCATATTTTGAGTTTATGTTTGTGTTCAAACCCACAAATCTAGACACGAATGCCAACCTGGCACACTGTTTAGCCCAACCAACGCTGCGTGCACCTGGAGCCAACTGGTCCCTGAGTGTCAGAAGCCGGGACAGGACAAACTGGAAGTCTCCAAGACACTCCATACAAAGTCTTCCGGTTACCGGCAGGCGGGTCATCGAGCAGTGCGTGCCGAAACGTTTCAGCAACATTTGATTGGTATGTATACATGCTTCTGGTTATTGTGTCTTGTTGTTAGTATTGTTATTATTATTTGTTGTTGTTGTTGTTGTTGTTGTTGTTGTTGTTGTTGTTGTTGTTGTTGTTGTTGTTGTTGTTGTTGTTGTTGTTGTTGTTGTTCTTCTTCTTCTTCTTCTTCTTCTTCTTCTTCTTCTTCTTCTTCTTCTTCTTCTTCTTCTTCTTCTTCTTCTTCTTCTTTTTTCTTCTTCTATTGTTATCATCATCATAACAACCGCCACCATTGTCATCATCGTCATCATCATCATTTTCATTATTATCCTAATCATCATCGTCATCATCACTATGGTGTGAACGGTATTCGCGTTTCGTATCTTGCCAAGAAATACGTTTTGACTATTTGTACTACCTTAAAAGATAGTTTGTCACTTGGTGGTTCTTAATACAACGCTTTTTTTGGTTTTTTACTTTTGTTTAATTGACCCTAATATAGCCCAAAAGAAAGTGAAAAGTGTTAATGACAGTGGCGTACAGTCGCCTTCAGATATTACAAAAGAAAGGAAAAAGAGAATACTCACTAGACACGAGAAAAGTATTCGCGTTTCTTATTATGCCAAGAAATACGCCATGACTATCTGTACTGACCTAAAAGAACGAAGTTGCTCTAAACACAGGCTGATTTCAACTAAAGTGCTAGAAGAAGTAGAAGAACGAACGTACGAACGAACTTTATTTCCAGAGGGTTACAGAGAATTATTGTAAGCCAACGAACCTGTTACAGAAGCACTTCAGATGTAATGTTCTTCTTCGTGTTCACCGGTTTTAAACTGCGTCAGAAAGTTCTGATTTTTCTTCCACTTCTGGACTCTAGTCCTGTTCCAGAAACTGAGTATTGCGTGCACATTCATTTCATAGGTCTGATTCATCACCATGCATACTGTTAGTCCCTTGCCTCTTAGGCAGATATACTCTGACTTCTAAGGAAGCTCCCTTTTAGTCGACTTCGACGCCATGCTTTGAGGTTAGCAATGGCGCCCAAAAGGAGACCCAGGATATAAAAATGAGGGAGAAAAAATACCAGAAAGTTTCCAAACAGTCGCCCAACGTTAGTTTTGAATAGGTTTGTCCATGAGAGGCACAATCTGCCTCCTCCTCCTCTCCTCTTCCATCTGCCTGTGCCAGCAGCTATCAACCATCACAGTTAAATTATACTGTTTTTTTTTTTTAACTTATAGATTTTTTGTCACGTATGAATCAGTTTTGGATAAAAGTCAATAAACAATACGTTTCTGGTCGGGCCAACAGATTATTTGGATTTGCATTGATTTCAACGGGAAACATTGTTTTGGGCTGACGAACATTTCGGTTCGCGAACGAAGTCGAAGAAAGAATAAAGTTTGTGACCACACTTACCACTCTGAGTCTTGTCAAAGTCTCAGCTGGAAACTAGCAGCAATAGTTTTCTTCATTGTTCCCACTCTCTTCTGACCACCCATCTCCCCTCACTGCCGCCGCCTCTATTTCCCCAAAAGCCTTATGTAACATAATTCACGGCGTCCTGTTTATTTGAATCAATCCCACTGCCCGTATCATGTCCCAGTTGTATCCGAATACTTCAGTCAGTAACAGACAGTATTATTCACAGAACCTTCTGCGTATAAAGTGCAAGCTGTTGACACACAAGAGTTCACCTGCCCAGATGTGGAAGATGGCTTTTTCCAGGACAACGTCTTTTGCGACATCTTCCACAGATGTGTGGTGGGGAAAAAGTTTACCTTCACCTGTCCAGCTGGTACATTTTTCAAGTAAGTGTGTCAGCAGTTCTTCAATTACATGCTAATTTGAAAGCGTTGTTGTTTTCTTTCTGTATAGTAAAGAAACCGCCAAACCCTTTTTAATAATTTTTACTTTCATTTGGGGATCCAGAGTATCCAACACTTCTCTTAGTGTACTAGAAGCAAAGCAGAAGGGTTATCTTGTAATAGAGGAAAGGGAAGAGATAACTATACAAGATAATATGGAAATCTACTTGAAATCTCCTCGACTCCGAACCTACAAGAGCTCTTACCGTGTCACGTGCCCAGTGGGAACCAAAACCCATCCTTTTGCTGCCTCAGTAAAAAAAAAAAAAAAAAAGAGAGAGAGAGAAAGAGTTCGTTTAGGCGGGGGTAAGGTCAAAAATATCTCACCCTGTCAGGAAATCTTCTGTGTGGGGTTTAATATAGTGTAACACTAAAACCTAGGCACACTAATTAAAATAAAAAGAATGCAAGTCAACAAATACAGAAACTTTATTTACTTGATGACACAAAACAGTAATACTTGATGACACACTCCGAAACACCAAGTATACTGAAGAACAACTAGAAGGTATATGAGGAGACCAGCAGAAAACTAACCAAGAAACTGGTAAACCAGTGAATAACAAAATACTGACAGCTACTAGCAGACTAACAAATCAGCTATATCGACCTGCCTCAAACTATCTCTTAGTGAGGATATACAATAGAAATGGAATCTACCACCACATAACCAATTAAAACTTACCGTGAGATTAGCCAGGGAAATCAGCCGGACAACCGCCCTTCGCCTCTAGTCGCCCACACGCATGCTGGCGAACCCTAAGTGCAGAGCTACAACAGCCGTGTAGGTCGCCACAGGGTCCGTCCGGAAGTCAAATCGATCGCTGAAATACTAAAAAAAAGTATTTTATACCCAGTGGCCCGACTTTTCACCAATTTACTGTCTAAGACTAAAATCTGTTCCTGTGGCCTCTTGGTCATTTTTAAACCAGATTAAATAAAAACGTTGAGCTGCTGAACAGTAGTCTTCGTCGTTTCCAGCCTATCACATTAGCCTAACTCTGCAAATTGTCCCTTGTAAACCACAAACTGGTTTTACTGCTGTTTATATTCTGTTTTTCCTTGTGGGTTCTGAGGCCCCATTTGTTACTGGGTTTTATCGTGGCGGTGGGGGTAGGAAAAAAAGGGGGTGGGGGGTGGGAGAGATAGACCCAGCACGCCTAACAAGCATTTTTCCAAGGTGACTAATAAGCTATGTTTCCTTTGGGTCCAAATACATCTGCCTGAGAGGCAAGAAACCAACATTCTGCATTTAAATAAGCCGTATGTGTGGAACGGAGGTGAAGAATAAAAGGAAAGTCCACAAGTGGACGAACAACCGGAACTTTTCATATGAGTTTAAATCCCCTGTAATAATAATAAGAACTCCACAGAGGGAGCAAGCACAGCAGGAGTCTATTGATCATCAGAGGAACCCCCCCCCCCCCCCCCGCCCTTTTCAACAATTGTTTGGGCCCGTTATCCTCCTAGACAATCTCGGGGAGGGGGTGGGGGAGAAGGGTAGCCAACCTGGATCATGACCCCTAGACCTCAGACTTCTCCAGCTGCGCTTTGTCGGACAAGACGTTATGGTGAGATGAAACAGTTACTTAGCTTATGGTGTTGTTATAAATCGTCAGCGCTTAGCAAATTATGCGCGTACGTGCACGACCAGAGGGACAAGTGGACGGATTTTGAAGCTGGTGAAAGAGAAGAAGAAGATACCTGATCAGGTTATGGCTTATGCGTTATAATTGCGCTTCTTAATTCCGAGGCTACCAGGTTCGATCCATCCGCAAGCGGTTAGCAGCAGGCCGTCTTGCATTGATGTCCACTGAGTTATCGAGAGCCGACCGTTCATGGCAATGACAAACTACCGAATATAAAATTGCCTAGTTAAACCAAAGCAGTTAACAAATGCTGGAGTTGGTTCTGAAACATCCGGTAAAAGATACGCAGCTAGCTTGTGTTTCATTCGGGTTGTCCTTCTGCAACCTAGTCGGCGTGATTACAAATATGTCTTTATTGTTCTTCTGTGCTCGCCTTTAAAACGACAATCGGGACGTTATGTTGAAGTTTACCGCTAAACTGCGATGTCTGTGGCTTTCAGCACAGCCGGTACATCCGATTTCAGCAATATTCACTCACGCTATGATGTTTGCTCGTCTCTAGTGCAGTTCGTGAAAAGTGGTCGAGAATATTCGATACAATTCAAGGCATTCTTTTCCCCTTGAATCCATTTCAGTTCCTGTATCATTCATACCCCTCGCCTTTCGCAACATGCTTGTTAGAAACTACTCGCCTCCCCCTCCCCCGACACACAGTTTTTTTCTCTCTCTCTTAAATGGGCTTCGAGAAATAAACCAAGAGTATGTTTTTTTTTTAAAAGAATGACAAGACATGAAAATTTTCCATCACATGTCATAACAAGGTAAATTTGTGAAACTTGGTGACAAAAAGTAAAATTGATGGTAAAAGAGCAAGGAAAAAGCAAATAGATCAGTACCTATATGGCGTGACCTCATGTATGAGTCTGGCTAAGATAATTGTCCTGATCCCTAATTCTGGTAAAAAGACGAACTTTTACAGCCAACATTTATCGGTAGGGCACATTGATGATGTTGATGATGACGTGTTAACTAGTAGTTTCGAGACGCAATTAATTCAAACGTGTAAATAGTTTAGATGAAATTAAACTTTAGCAGGTAACGATAACGCTGAAAAGAATATCGCGTGAATTCTCCTTCTTGTCTCTTAGCTGTTGAGAGTGTGCGAGCGAAGTTGACATAGCAGGATTAGTAACTGGTAACTCGTACCCGTCACAGTTTTTGCATGCATGTCATAAACATGCAGCAAGCCTTATTTCCGCTGCGTTAATATTGCCAAGAAGCTCCACGAGGTCTGCGAGACGCAAACCAGCGGTGTATTTGTAATACAGTCATCATCACCATCATCATCATCATCATCATCATCATCACCATCATTATCATCATCATTCAGCATCATCATCATCATCCCCATCATCAGCATCATCCTCATCCTTATCATCATCATCATCATCATCATCACTAATTTCAACTTCTGCCGTTAGGCGTTGTGGGGAAGAACATATTACGATCTATTGCTTGATGGGCAGATTTGGCTACTGTCATTCGGTATTGATGTAGAAGCTCTTTAATGTCATCAATCCGTGTTCTCCTAGGCCGACCTTTTGCTTTCACTTCAGATCGTTTCGTTTTTTTTTTTGTGTGTGTGTGCATTAGAAAGCGCACTGGGCGATTACAACCCTGTTACAGTCATGCCTGGACATTATGGTTCAGTCATATTAACGCTAAGTTCCACATGTCTCCGCAGACTGGAAGATACCTTATGTGACTTTTGGGAAGCAGTGTCCGACTGCACCAAAGATGGCATCCGCTTGGAGGCAATGGGCAGTCTGCCAGATGTGGTTGCCCTTTCGCAGACAGATCGACTTCAACAACAGGTGGCCGAGGAGTTTGACCTCAGCGTTATCAACATCGATGCAGGTTCGTTTCTGTTATTTAACTCACACCATACGCAATAGTTACTTTAGTTCCTTATATATTCACCAGTTGCTATTAAAAGCAATTAACTTCAGTGTTGATGCGGAATTCGAAGACAACTGAACAGCGATCGAGTTACCAATCGTTCAAGTTCTAAGGTAATTTTTCTAATTGAAAATAAAGGAACTAAATTAACATGCTCTTGGATCCAGCTAATTCAAAGTTGACATACACGGATAGCAATTTTATGCTTAACATTCGGATGTTTTTATAGTGGCAACCGTTGCTCTAACAGCTTTTCTCTTATTTTGGTTTTTAAAGCTGGGCGCTTTACCAACCATAAACTATTTAAGTGTTGTAAAAAGTTTATCGGCACAACGTACGAAAAAAAAAAAAAAACTAAAGCGTAGACGTCATTGTGTGCTACTGGATGACTTCAACGCGACATATATTCGGTTTCCAGGGCGGCGTTCAAATCGCATTAAAAAATTTCTTTGAACATTTCAGTCGAGTTCCAAGTCGTTCGAATTTTGAAGCGTTAGAGTTGTCACTGAACCTATATTTCCAGAAGTTTTCAATATACGAAGTATATTGCATCGATTAGCCACTATGTTTTATAAAGTGTAATTACTTGTGCTTTTATATTGGTTTCCATCGCTGTGCTTTAGCCAAACACCTTTTCTTTAAAACGACACAATCTGCAAGGTTATATGGACGACACACACACATACATACGCACACACGCACACGCACACACACACACACACACACAGAGAGAGAGAGAGAGAGAGAGAGAGAGAGAGAGAGAGAGAGAGAGAGAGAGAGGGGATTATAATATATCGAACAGACCTGCATGCAAAACTCAAGTTCTGGGAGAAGGCTAGGACTAAAAAGAAGAAGGAGAAGAAGAAGAAGAAGAAGAAGAAGAAGAAGAAGAAGAAGAAGAAGAAGAAGAAGAATGGAGTAAACCTGCCAACAGCTATTTCAGGAGCAACCCCCTAAAAAATGTTTGAAATAATATACTTGTATATTTGCTTTTCCACTATACTGATTCTGATAATTCAATGTTGATTTGAAATACTCTAGACCCCATAGGTTGCCCGGCATCCAGTGGACTGTTCCCTCACCCAAGAAACTGCCGTCAGTTTGTCTTCTGCTCTCGGTTTGTTCCCTTGGTGCTGACCTGCCCAGAACCACTTCTCTTCAACTCGCAAACCTTGACCTGTGACTTCGCCATGAAAGTGCATTGCTTCCGGTCTGATGAATACCGAAGAAAGTAGTCCTGTGTTGGCAGATTCACACGTCAGGGTAACCTTGTGATGTCTGCAACCAAGGATTCCAGCTGTTTAAGAACCACCAAACCACGCTGATGATTGTGTTTTGTTACTTTAAAAAGCTTTCTGATTATGTTTTCTACTCTTTGAGTCTATTCAAAGAAAGAAGAAGTTAATACGTTAGCACTGCATACAGTTTACACTACATTTTCACTAGTTTAGACATCCAAGTGATCAACACCACTCACCGTACGATTTCATAAAATTCAATATGCATTTAACAGGAATTTTAGTTCTTTATCATTCAGAGCCCTAGTGGTTGATTGCTGCAAACAGCACCCTTTTCGGCCATCTGGCTGTTTGGCCTTCCTTGGTGACTCCAAGTGTGTGTGGATCTGGTTGTATGTTGTCTCTCCATCATCTTCATGGTCTTCTTCGTGATTCACCTCCATCCAAATCTTTCGTGTAAGCAGCTTCTGTGTAGATCTGTCCACATACATGTTCTTACGACAGTAAATACTATTGTTTACCTCCCTTCATAGGGCAACATTCTTTCCATATATAAGAATGTTCTTTATGCTAATTCTATAACATTGTGCTAGCTAGTATTCATATCTTTTTCCTCTTCCTGGCATCCACCAGCTGCAGACATTGGCGGAAACTTCTGGTTGTTCGTCCACCTGTGTACTTCAGTCTTGTTCCAGAATTCTGTATGAACATCCGTTTTACAGATCTCGCTTATTTGAGTCTTCACTGCTATAACAACGTCGTTGATGGCATCGAAGTGACTTTGTTAAATGATTTTTGTTTTTTAATGAACTCTGAATTCTTCGTCTGCGGAGGACGCATGATTGACGGACAAGTGCAGACAACTGTGTTTTGACTACGTAGCATAAATCGAAATCATTAAATGCCTTTCCAATAAGTCTTGACGATCACGCTTTGCCGCATCTTATAATTCCCTGTAGCGTACACACACACTGTAGATAATGCGCACGCATACAATGGTTAAGCTTTCTTTTTTACCTTTCTACGCAAAGATTTCTGAATTTTTTTTACTTTAATACATACATGTGAACAACTGAATGAAATCTTCCGTGTCACTTTATTTATTGTTCTACTTTGTTTTGCTGATTTTTGTTTAAAAAAAAAAAAAGTATTGTTATCATGCACTCCAACTTTGAAGCAAACAGGGCTAATTTGTCGGCTTTTACGACAAGCTTGTTTTTAGACAATGGATCAGTTCTTTCTTCTGCCCAAATGGGGCCCTGTATGCCACAGGGGAAACAAGCAGGATTAAAAATAATGACTTTGGCTCCAAAGTGGACACAGCTGAAGATGTGTACAGTCGGTAGTCGAAGTTTCAACTTCGCTGCAAATTTGTCACCCCAAAATGGTTCCGTTTCTTGCCAGTGGAAAACACGCAAAGTGCTTCTAGTGTCCAATTTTAAAACTGTTAAACAAATAAGTATTCTTCTTATGGCCCATTCTGTGTGGTGTTGATAGACATTTCAATCGCAAATTTCTGTCTCATGTACTTTCAGTCATTTATGACAGCGATTATCTACCGTGCTATGATTTATATATAACTAGCGACAGCAAAATCTAGAAACCTGCACACGCAATAAATGCATAAGGCGGCAGACAGAGGTGACAGCATCTAAAGTCGCAATGAGAATTGCAATTTTCAAATATGTACAATGGGATGTCCTAGGAAAGTTTGGGACAGAAGGCAGGTTGGTGATCGCGTCATCGGACCATACCATCAAACCGCATCATCAGTTTAGTGTCGGACTGGTCTAGGTACAGTCTGATGGGTTGACTGCTGTCGCTCCTCTGCGCGGTTATTTAATTTCTGATAAAGCAGACTAGGCGCATACCCTGGGATCAAGTGAACAGTGCAATGGAACAGACAGTCTTTCGACAAACTGATTCGGCTAAAACAAAGCAGAGGAACTCAGCGGTTGTCAGTTCCCAGAGGAAAAGACAAGAGGGCTTTAATCAGACTGAAACTGATACCAACAGTATTTTAACTCTGTTGGCCACTGGGAACAGAGAACCTCAAGGAATGTTTGCAGTGCAGTTATGTCAGTTCTTGACTGACTGATTCATTCACTGCTGTATGAAAATATGTACATGAAAGTATATGAAACGTATCGCTAATCCCACACTTACTGCGGCTTCCATCTGTTGTCTGCACTGTTCAAGAACTTTCCAGTCTCAAACTGGACTAATCTGCCAACTTCGTACTCATAATCATTGATCATTACTACTTTGGATGAAAGTGATCTTCATCACTCGTGATGGACAAATAACACTATGAACATATGTATCTAACACTATGTGCCACGTATGCCATTGCCTTTTAAAATCCTTTTTTCAACAGCACGAGGTTAATCGGAATGACCTAAGTGAAAATTATCTGGAAATTAATATTTCCAGGACAACCCAGGAGAAATGGAATATAGAAGGCAAACTTTATCTTCAGTTAACTGTCCCATTCAACTATAACTTTTCACTAGAGTTTACAGCCGGTAAGAAGAAACTCCACAGAGAAGCATATACAGCAGGAGTCTACCAATCATCAGTAGAAGTAATCTCTCGTCGACAAATGTTTCGGCCCACGAGCTCCTAGACATTTTCAGAGAGTGGGCCCACCTGAGTTCATGAGGCTCAGGGTTGATTTCCTCCTGCTGCACGTATTACCGGATGTTATCGGACAGGGACAAGACGAATTGGTGACTTTGCAAAAGGTACTGTAAGATACGAAGTCGTTGAGGTAGCATAATTGGAGCAGTCAGCTTACCTAGACGACCAAGTGGCAAGCTTACGTTTAGTTTACCGGACACGTGTTGCACTTTCTTGGCAGGTGGCAGAGGGACACTGGCAAACAATTCGGGCATGACGGACTTTGAGGGATAAGACCTTCTTTTCCACTAGACACCCGCATCAGCTCACCGAGGCCCGTCCTCCACGACGTTTCGTTGTGTCCAGAGCCAGCTCGAAGCCCTCTCAGAAACCTCGTCCAGTTGTGTTAGTGTTCCTTTGCGTTCATTCCCTCGGAAGCCTAGTTGTTTAATCACATTGCACATTGAAGTGGAAACGAGACCTTTTGCGCCTACCTCGACGGCGAAGATTCTTACTGTGTACGCTTCGTCTCTCCTCAGACCAGCCGCTAAGTCAGTGTATTTCTCGAGCTTATACATTTGGCTTTCGTCCATTCGCGACTCATACGGCACGGTCAGCTCAATCAGGATGAGCTGACGTCTCTCCGCAGAGTGTAGGACTATGTCGGGTCGCAGGCCAGTCTTCCGGATTAACTCAGGGTACTTTTCGTGACCAGGCAGGTCAACCGACAGTAACCAATTTCTCGCACAGTCAAGCATCGATGGAGCGTGTGCGACTTTGTTGAATTTACCTTTATAATTCTGCCCAGCCTTGAGGAAGCGCACCGGGAAGATAGTAGGCCCTTATCCTAGCTTGGTCCACAACGGCTGTTAATTCTTGCAGCGCCGTGTTGTGGCGCCAAGTGTACCTGCCCGGACCTAGGGCTTTTCTGCACGCGGACAACACGTGCTCGAGCGTCTGTTTAGTTCTGCATAGCGGGCATGTCCGGTCGTTAGTCGCAATCCACTTTACCATGTTAACACCGGACGGTATACATCGTAGGCAGATCGAACGATAAAGCTCAGTCGCAGCAGGGCTATTCGCCAGATCTCACCCCATGTGAGTACTCGTGGCAAGGCGCTCTCTAGACCGATCACTGGCCTTGCTGCGACTGTTTGGCTGCTTTTTGGACCCGAACCTCATGACTCGGCGCTCTTTGGCTGTGGCTTTAGACCACCAACTGACTTTCCCGTTCCCCAGGCGGTTGGTTTGAGTGTAACCCATAACTTCTCTTAATTTTAGTGCATTCTGGGCAGATTCGATTGCATCTAGGACCTTTCACCTCACGCCAGTATTTAGAGCGGGCTGGACAGCAGTGACAGTGGGGTCTGAAGACTCTCGCAACATCATGGCGAGTCTTACTGTGCCGACTTTAAACTCTTCGGTTATTGATTTGAACGGGAGTACCAGCTTCGCCTGTTTACAATACAGAGACACATCAGTCAGACAAGGTGGTGCTCCCAACCACTTCCTCATGGCTGTGTTGATTTTGCGCTCCATTGCCTCCACTGCAGTCATAACAGTAAACGATATAATACTGTTAAAAAAATCGCAAAACCACTTTAGTTGTTGACGTCTGTCGTTTTATGACACTACCGGTTGCATTATAACGGTCACGCAGAGTTTGAATGACGGAGTAGGCAACTCCCAATCTCCTAGCAATTTCTGGCAGCCCTACATCCTCTGCAGTCCCGCTTTCGCTTTCCATCTGCCACCATTGGTCAAGCATCTTCGATAAGGAACGGTTAAAGTGGAAAATGTCCAAGCATGCCCTTCCGAAAAGCTGGTGACAGGTGTAGTGAGTTCATTTTCTCCCCATTAATTTATGCCCGACAGAATACGTCAGTAATAAATGTAAGGGGAATGTTTTGACTGACTGGGATAACACGAGATTTGTGTCTGAGTTTCATGGGAGACATCTGAAAGTCAGGTTTTATGTAAAACATGATTGTTCACGTGAACCATGAAGGTTGACTGGCAGGCTTCGTGTGAAATGCGAATTATCACGGGCCAGACACGATTTTCAACGGTGGGGAATTCGTGAGAATGAAGTTATACAGAATATTCGAGACGAACATGACAGAGATCAGAGGGCTATATAATAGCGGAGAAAGGATTGAGAGGCAGTCTCGTTTAGGCCAAGGGAATGTGTACGTGAGAAGATGATGTCCGGAAGAATGTTGGCGTCTGAATAGCGTGATTTCCCAATGCCTACCTGGCATGAAATAGCGGCTGACGGAAACGGTGGCCAGCTGTGAATGACTGTCGTCTGGTTGGATGGAATTACTGTGTTTCGCTAAGTTGTGGGATGAATTCTACGATGTTACAAAGATATGACT